AAGAAGGAAGACCACAATGAAATACCATTTCATGCCCTCTGACTCTTAAATTTATACCTACTATGTAGATGCTAAGGAGGTAGAGAGGACTCTAATGCCCCCTCAAAGACTAAATTGATTCCCCTCAGTGTGCTCAGAACTACTTCTCAAGGCCAAATCCACAAACCCTGGAATGCTTGTGGGAGACTTGGCAGAAGTGCTGAAGAACAGTCAGAGGCTGTCTATGAAAATCAGCCAGCCATCGTTAAAATGCGGAAGTACAAGGAGAGTCCTCCTCACTGTCAGTCCAAGCAAGAGTGTGGAGACAAAAAGGATTCCACTGTTACCCCAGAAAGTTAGAAGAGGAAGAGGAGAAGGCAGACAGAGGAGTTTAAAAACTTCAAAGTCCATGGAGGGCAAGGAAAATGCTTCCGTTTCTAGGCTAGGGGCTGGGCGTGGAGCTCACTTGATCAACAGCTTACCTGGCTAACATGCAAGGCCAGGCTTTCCATCGCCAGCACCTCCGACACTGTGCATGGTGGTGCACACCTGTAATCCTAGCACTGTAGGTGGGGGCAGGAGGATCCGAATTTTAAGGTCATCCCCGGCTACACAGTGAGTTCGAGGCCACCCTGGGATACAGGTGATCCTGTCTAAAAGAATGAGATACCATAGTTATTATCCAATAAGGCTTTTCTTATATAAAGTGGCTTACAGAATCACGGTGTTCTACAAGAGTAGTAGGTCTTAGGCTCAGCTACTGCCTGGGGTAGCTTTGTCCTCACTGTGACAAAATACCTTAGGAAAGCTCCTAAATGGAGAGAGAGCTTGAGTACAATTCTAATTTCTCGCTCTTCCTGAATCCAGACTAATTTCCTTGGGTTTGGAAATGAATTGAGATGACAGGGCTTAAGGATCATGGCCTGTAGCTTAGGTTAAGAGTCAGGCAGTGCTTGAAACTGAATATGAAACTTCTGGCCCCCTCCAGCTCATGTGTGGACTAGCTGGTGCTCAGTGGGTACTGCTCCCTTGAGATAGTGGACACTTCAGGAGGTGGGGGAGGACGCTGGTCACCGAGATCACAGCACTGAAGGGTATACCATGTCCCCTTCTCTGCTTCTCATACAAGAGGTGCATAGCCATTGTTTTATGTTCCTTCCTGCAAGTTCTGCCTCACCGTGTGCCCAAAATCAAAGGAGCCCAGGACTATGGGCTGAAACCCTGAGACAAGACCACCTTCTACAAACTCTTACTATATACTTACACCCCTCTTGGAAATGGCTTTTCAGAACCTTGCTCCACTTTGCATTTTTTAAAACCAGAGTTGTGATAGTTCTTACATATATCTTGAATAAAAGATTACCAAGTAATTTCCAAGTATTTCCCATTTTGTATTTTCACTTCAGTTTTTTTTTAAATATGGGATCTTGCTATTAATTCTAGGCCTAGCTTAATTTCACTTCCATAATGGTGTCATTAGAAGCATGAAAATTTTTTTTTGTTTTTGTTTTGTTTTTTGAGACAGTGTTGCTCTGTGTAGCTCTGCGCCTTTCCTGGAACTCACTTTGTAGACCAGGCTAGCCTCGAACTCAGAGATCCGCCTGCCTCTGCCTCCCGAGTGCTGGGATTAAAGGCATGTGCCACCACCGCCCAGCTTTTTTGTTTTTTTGAGACAGGGTCTCTCTGTGTAGCCCTAGCAGGCCTGGAATCCATTCTGTAGACCAGGCTGGCCTCAAACTAACTCAGAGATCTGCCCGTCAATACATCTCAAGTACTGGGATTAAAGGTGTGTGCCACTACATCCATCCCAAAGCATGGAAATTCTTAATTTTGATATTCATTTTTCATTTGTTGTGTGCCTGGTTCCATAGCTAAAAACAAATCACTGCCTAATGTAAGACCATAAAGATTTACCCTTGTGTTTTGTCTAGAAATCCAACAGTTTAAGACCTTCCATTCAGGTTTGTTTATTTTGTGCTAATTTTTGCATATAGAGTGTTACAGAAATCAAACCAGAATCTTTTGCATTGGGATATCAGTTATTGCAGCATCACTTGTTGAAAAGACTATGATTCAACCCTCTGGATTTTCTTGGCCATCATGCCTCAAGTCAAATGACCCCAAATGTATGTATTTCTGAATTCTCAGATCTACTTCGTTGATCTACGTCTATTCTTTGTGTGTGTGCACATGTGAATTTGAATGCTTTCAGAGGTCAGAAGAGGGTGTCAGATACTATGGAACTGGAGGTACAAGCAGTTGTGAGGTTGATGGCATTGGGAACCAAGCCAGTTCCTCTGCAAGAGCATCAAGTTCTCTTAACTGCTGAGCCACTTCTCCATCCCTAATCTATAATCTATTCTCACAACACTCACACCACACTGTGGTTTTAACAGGCGCCCAGACTGTAGTAGGCCCCCAGATCTTAGCACAAATGGCTCCATAATGGAAGTACCATTCAGGCCATAAAACTCCATTCAGCACATCAAAACACTTAACCCATCAAAGTGCATAATTCTGGTAAAGTCTCTAAATGTACTAACCTTGCTTTTTGGCTTCTGTAGTTCTATGTCAACCCAGGATATTGTTTTTGTGCTTAAAATCTCACCCTGAGGAAGGCCCAGGGCTACACTGGAATCCCAAAACACCCAGTGTAGTTGCCATTATTAGCTTAAACCAGTGTCCTAGTTGTCTTCTCCAGTGGACATCCCACATGATTAGTGTACCTTTGTAGTAAGCTTTGAAGTCAAGAAGTGTGAGAGTCCTCTCATGGTTTCTAGTTGTTTTGTATGTCAACACTATTCTAGTAATTCAGTCCTTTAGATGTCTATCTGAAGAAAGCTTTATTATCTTACAAATAAGTAGATTTCATTATGGCATTTTTTAAAAATATTTACTTCTCTCCTTGTCTTCTTCCCATGGTCCCCTTATGTCCTCCTACCTGCTCTGACTTCCTTACATACTCACTTTACATGTGACCTCTTGTCCCCCTCCCTCAACCCTTCATATTTGAATTTTAAAATCAACTTGTTGGTTTCTGTAAATGTCAGCTGGGATTTTAACAAGGATTGCATTAAACTGTAGAAGAGCATGGTGAATACTGCCTTAACTATATTCAGTCTTCTAGATGAATATGGAGTATCTCTGCACTTATTAGATTGTCTTTACTTTTTAAAAGAACATTTTGACATGACATATTAACTGATTTTGCAATGTTAAATGAACCTGGCATCCCTGGGGTGAGTCCCAGTTTGTCACGGAATATAATTAATCCTTTTTTATACAGTATATTACTAGATTTGATTTGCTAATATTTTTGAGCTTCTTGGATGTAGATATGTATCAAGCTTAGGGCACTACTAGCCATAATTTAAAATATTTTCTTCTTTCCTTTTCTGTCCTCTTTTAAAAAGTATTTATTTATATGTGGATGAGTGTTTTTCCTGCATGTATGTATGTATGTACACAACATGCATGCCTGGTAACCAAGGAGGATAGAAGAGGACATTGGATCCCCTTTAACTGAAGTTACAGATAACTGTGATCCTCTGTGTAAGTGCTGAGAACAGAACTTGATGCATGTGGTGGCTATTCTTGGTTGTCAACTCGACTATTTCTGCAATTAACTAAAAACCCAAGCCATTGGGTACACCTATGAGGGATTTTTAGTTAATTGGGTCATTTAAGGTAGGAAGACTCACCATAAATGTGGGCGACACCTTCTCGTGGAAGCCTATATAAAGGACAAGGGAGAAATGAAGTTTTGCAAGTTTATTTCTTCACCAGTATTAGAGGCTACTTCTTCAGGATCCTGGTATATACTGAAGATCAGCTGAGATACCCAGCATGGTGGACTGAACAACTGCTGGATTCTTGGCCTTTCTGTTGAGAGACAGCCTTTGTTGTACTAGTCAGACCATAACCTGTAAGACACTCTAATAAATCCCCTATTTGTCTGTCTGTCTACCTCTCTATCTAGGGGACTTTCATATTATATGTATACACACATATATGCATGCATACACACACACACACACACACATTCTGTTTCTCTACAGAACCCTAACTAATACAGTGCATAAATGTTTAGAATTGTAATATCCTCTTGGATGAGTAGCTAGTGTCTTTCCTTATCTCCTCTGATTAGTTTTGTTTAAAGTATGTTTGCTTCTTGGATCCACTTGCTTGAAATACTCTTTTTCCATTCTTGTTTTTATTTTTTTAAGATTTATTTATTTATTTACTTATTTATTATATAGTGTTCTGCCTGCATGTTTGCCTGCAGGCCAGAAGAGGGCACCAGATCTCATTCTAGATGGTTGTGAGCCACCATGTGGTTGCTAGGAATTGAACTCAGGACCTGTGGAAGAGCAGCCAGTGCTCTTAACCTCTGAGCCATCTCTCCAGCCCACCCCATTCTTTTACCCTAAGGTGATGTCTGTCATAGGTGGTGAGGTGTATTTTTTGGTTTTTTAATCCAGTCTGTTGATCTATGTCATTTTATTGGGGAACTGAGACCATTAATATTGAATTATTAATGAGAAGTGCTGATTACTTCCCTTTATTTTTGTCGAGGTGGTGTGGGAATGGTGTGGGAATCCCCACCCCGCCCCTCATTGTGACTGTTTTAGGATTCCTTGTGTCTCTTGGGTGTACTCTTCTCTTCAGACGAAGTTTTGCTTCTAGTGCATTCTATAAAGCTAGACTGGTAAACAGAAATTATTTAAATTTGTTTTTATTGTGGAATGTTTTTCTTTCTCTGGAGAATGGAATTGATAAGTTTTGCTGGGTATAGTAGTCTGTGCTGACATCTGCGGTCTCTTGGAGCTTGTAAAACATCTGTCCAGTCCCTTCTGGCTTTCAGAGTCTCCATTAAAAAGTCAGATGTTATTCTCAATGTGAATGTACTAAATGGAAGTTGTTCAGTAGTAGTGAAACAAAATTTACAATGAATTCTCAGCAAAAAATAAATCTCTCTGTTATGGATTTTTTTTTAAAATCTTCAGAATTACTCCTGAAGGTAAAGCTTAAGTTAGTTTATTTAGGCCTGGAAATTTAAATCTGAATATATACATAAATACATACATACACATATACACTCAAATAATATGATGGTTTCAGGAAATAACACCAATAAAATCAGAAATTTCTTCATCCTCTACCCTTCCTTCCTACATACATTACCTCCAGTGCAGGCCCAGACAGTTATCAGCTTCTTGGAATGTGTTACACCCATGTAGCACCCTATTGTAAGTAACTTGGTGCTGCTGCTGGTGTTCACATAAGAAAAACAGAAATGTCCCCAGGATTCCAGACACTGCAGAGTATTCTGCATAACAATGTCTGCAGAGTAACTTTATATTACTCATTACCTTCTACTAACATAGCAGATAAACATTCCCACTAGAAAGCAGATGAAGAGATTATTTTTCATTAGTAAATTAAAAATCTGAATACTAAAAACTAAGTTAGTCACAAGGTTCTCCTGAGCCATGGACAGAAGGCCAGTCTAAGTACTCCTTGAAGACAGCAGTTGGCTTGTGAAATGGGTATGAAAACTCACATTGAGCTACATGGCCTCTCTAGCAATGAGGAGTTTAGTTTAGCATGCCCAGTTTGTTTATGTCAACATTCTTCTAATGTTTACCATTGAGGTTTTGATCTCTGATTGGGATAGAGAAGAATGGTGAATACTACTTTTTATGAAAAGTTTCAAGCCTTGAAAACCTTCTGAAAATAAATAGTCCAAATACCAGTTCCATTTCTTCCCCTGCAGGTACAAAAAAGAAAAAATTACCTATTGAACATGAATACTTGTTTCCTGCCTCCTTATCTTTCCCCAGAAAAGTTTACAACATCTTGAATGCATATTGCAAATATCAGCTTAGAAGGGCTACGTTCATTATTAGAGCTAAGTCACTAAATTAATCCAAGGGATCTAAATATTGCTTTAATAATATTGGCAAAACATTCATCAGACCAAGTACTGTGAAATGGATAAGTGCCACCATTCTCATGCTCTAGAAACTTAGTCTCTAAAATAGATGACACAAAAGATATTATGTCACAGTCTATGCTGTGTACACAGGAGGATTTTCTAGGATAATGAGAACACTGTTCACAGTGTTCTTACATCAGGTTCACTTTAGATACACACAACTGTACTATTACATGAGACAATGGATGATCAGAACAGCAACAGTCAAATTATGAAGTTATATCCTAAGACAATGAAAGTCTGTGCCAATAAATCTGGATGAAAGTTATTTGAGAGTATTATGAAGGCAAACATTTCATTTTCACTTTTTGCAGCCAGTAGAACTAAGACTAAGAAAGAAGAAAAGGCATACAAAATCTCTTGATTAAGCTACATGAAATCCATATCCGTGATGAAAGTAAATGTATTTACCTGAATAGAGCTCAGTTCTACTGTCCTTTCTTCAGGGCTTTCCTTTAAAATGAACACATTAGGTTAGCAAAATCATCAGAGAGTAACTACGGTTCTTCACACTCTGATTCATCTTGCTAAGTTCTATTCCTACCATCGCTCTGGGATTCCTTTTGAATAAACAGTCACGATAACCGCCTGTATTTCCTTCTCCCTAAAAGCACAAATAGGGAAACAATAAAAGCATAGTGTACAAGTGAGTACCTAAGTTTAGCTAACCTATGACCTTCTCTTTGTATTTCGTACTTAACTGTTAAAAGTAGTGATGGAGGGTGTTAAAGACTTTTTCCCTAAGAAATGTGCTGTTTGAATTGTACCTTAAAGGGCAAAGACATACATTTTCTACATTGATCGGTCCCCTTGACCCTTCCTGGATTTCACCATGGCTCATCTCTGATTTTACTAATTTCAGCCTTTTTTTTTTTAGTTAGGCTAGGGCTGTGTCAATTATGTTTACCAGTTTAGAGAACCAGTTTTTTTGTTTCATTGATTCTATATGTTGTTCTTTTAGTTTCTATTTCATTTATTTCTACCTGAATCTTTATTATTTCTTGCCATTTACTGTGTTTCTAGAAACTTGTGGTGTACCATTAGTTTATTTGAGACCACTGTTTTTTAAAAAGTTGTGTTTTCTTTTTGTTGGTTTTTTATGTATATCGGTGTTTTGCCTGCATGTATACAAAAATACCACATGCATGTCTCTGCTCACAGAGGCCAGAAGAGGGCATTGAGTCCCCGAGAACTGGAGTTACAGATGGTTTTAAGACACTATGTGGCTGCTGGGAGCAGAAGCTGGGTTCTCTGCAAAATCACATACTCTTAAAGCACTGAATCATCTCACCAGACTCTACTAGGAATTTTTGAATAAGAACTTACAGCTATAAGCTTGCCCTCCAGAAATGCTTATAGCTGTATTCCAGAAGTTGTTGTAGATTGTGTTATGATTTCATTTGATTCTAAGAACTGAAAAAATTCCTTCCTGATTTCCTCAATACATTCAAAAATGTATTTTTCAGTCTCCAGGTATCTGTACAGTTTTTCTTCCTGTTGGTTTCTAGTCTTGTTTTAATATACTGTAAGGGATTACTTGAATTTTTGGTATTCATTAACGGCTGCTTTGAAAACTGCATTTACACATGCAGAAGAATAAAATCAGATCTGTATCCCTCACCCACCTCAAAAATAAATCCAAAATGAACCACAGACCTCAATGTTATAAATGAAATTCTGCAATTGCTAGAGAGAAAACACTTCAAGATATAAGCACAGGCAAAATCTTTCTGACAGGGCTTCCAATAGTACAGGCAATAATCCCAAGAACTGACCAATGGGATTACATGAATTTCAAAAGCATTTGCACAGAAATAGAAACTACCTGCAGACAATCTACAGAATCAGAGAAAATCTCTGCCAGCTAAATTTCAGGTAGGGAGTTAATATCTAAAGGACTGCAAAAATTAAACATCACAAAAACAAATTATCCAATCAACCAATAAGGTAACAAGCTGAATAGAAAGTTCTCAAAAGAAGAAATACAAATGGCTAATAACCATTTTATAAAGTGTTGACATCCCAATTTTCTAAGAAAGCGCCATATTGATTTTCAAAGTTGGTTGTACAAGCTTGCATTCCCACCGGCAATGGAGGAGAGTTCCCTTAGTTCCACATCCTCTCTAGCATAAGCTGTGTTCAGTGTTTTTGTTTGATCTTAGCCATTCTGACAGGTGTAAGGTGGTGTCTCAGAGTCGTTTTGATTTGCATTTCCGATGATTAGGGAGGCTGAGCAATTCCTTAAATGTCTTTCAGCCATTTGAGCTTCCTCTGTTGAGAATTCTGTTTAGTTCTATAGCCCATTTCTTATTGGACTATTGAGCATTTTGATGTCTAATTTCTTGAGTTCTTTATATATGACCTACTCTGGTGATAGGATGGCCAAACACCCTAATTGTCGTGCTAGAAACCTCATCCAGTGACTGAGAGAACCGGATGCAGAGATCCACAGCCAGGCCCCAGGCGGAGCTCCAGGAGTCCAATTGGCGAGAAAGAGGGTTTGTATGAGTGAGAATTGTTAAGACCAAGGTTGGAAAAAGCACAGGGACAAATAGCCAAACAAATGGAAACACATTAACTATGAACCAATAGTTGAGGAGCCCTCAACTGGATCAGGCCCTCTGGATAAGTGAGACAGTTGATTAGCTTGATCTGTTTGGGAGGCATCCAGGCAGTGGGACCGGAAACCTGTCCTCAGTGCATGAGCTGGCTGTTTGGAACCTGGGGCTTATACAGGGACACTTGGCTCAGCCTGGGAGGAGGGGACTGGACCTGCCTCAACTGAATCTACCAGGTTGATCTCAGTCCTCAGGGGAGTCTTTTCCCTGGAGGAGATGGGAATGGGGGGTGTTGTGGAGAAGGTGGGGGGGGGAGAGGGGGGCAGAGGAGGGAGGACAGGGGAATCCGTGGCTGATATGTAAAATTAAATTAATTTATAAAATTAAAAAAAGTTGACATCCTTAGCCATCAGGAAAATGAAAATTAAAACTGCTTTGATATTTCATCTCACCCAAGTCACAATGGCCATCATTACAAAAACACGGGGCTAGAGATGGCTCAGCACTTAAGAGCACATGCTGCTCTTGCACAGGACTCAGCACACACCTGGTGGCTTACAACCCTTTGTAATTCCAGTTGCAGGGAATCTGACCTCCTTTTATGACCTCTGGGGTACCTCTCATGTGGTACACATACATACATGCAGGCAAAACATCCATACACATAAGATAAAAATAAATCATAAATAAAGAAAAAAAGCGATGACAGCAAATGCTGGAGAGGATGCGGGAGAAGAGGACCCCTTATTAACTGCTTAGTGGAGAGTAAACTGCTGTAGCCACTATGGGAATAAGTATGAGAACACTTGAACATCTGTGTCTATTACTGCACTATTCATAACAGTCAGGAAACAGAAACACCCTTTATATCTGTCCACTGATTAATGGCTAAAAAATGTGGTACATTCACACAACTGAACTTATTCAGCCATAAAAGAAAAATGAAATCATGACACATGCAGGAAAACAGATGGAAATCTTAAATTAGCATATTGAGCAAAATAATCCAGACTCAGAAAGACAAATACTGTATGTCTTCTCTCCTATGTGGATCCTAGATTTTGTGTATACTTGTGTGCATATGTTCATGTGCACATATGTGAAGACCAGTGGAGAACCTCTGGTGTGGTTCCTTCAGCACCCTGTTTTCGAGACAGCATCTCTTCAGTGGCCTGGGGCTTGTCGATTAGAGTAGGCTGGCTGGTCATCCAGCGCCAGTGATGCACCTGCCTCCCCAGCACTGGCATTACAAGTACACATGTGGCATTTTTACGATGTGGGCTCTGAGGATGAAACTCAGGTTCTTCTGAGCCATGTGCCTAACCCCCAAATCCTAGATTTTCATTTGTGTCTATGTATAGATGTGTGCAGGAGGGTATACAACTAGAGAGGGGAGCGTGAGGAAATGGGAGTGTTAAGGAAGGAGGGAGGGAAGGAAAAGAGAGTAACAGAATACATGTGACATGAAGTGGATGGGGGGAAGAGATGTGAGGGAACAGGGGAGTTGGAAAGCAGACTGGGGGTGGAAATCAACAAAAAAGTAGGAAAATGCAATGATGAAGCCTAATACTCTGAATGCTAAGTTTAAAAAAAGTAAAAAATAAAGGAATCTGGTGAAGTAAGCTGTATGTACAGTAGATTCTATGAAACTCTAAATCTTCACTTGGCTTTAGCTATCCCCATATTCCCAGACAGAATACTTTTCACTATCCCTAACAGGAAGCTCTGCATATTAACCTTGTACAATGCAATACCTTTGCTATATAGTTTTTGTTTTGTTCTTGAAGTGCTGGGGATCAAATCCAGGGCCCTGTACATGCTAGGCAGGTGCTCTGCCACAGAGTTACATCTTCACCTCAATGATGCTTTTTCATACTTAGCATTTTATTTTGTAATCCTGAATCAGTTCTTTCAGATGTAGGCATATTCTTACCATATAACATTTTTATAAACACATGTTAGTAAGTATTCGCAAACTGGCAAAAGCGTGTGTGTGTGTGTGTGTGTGTGTGTGTGTGTGTGTGTGTGTGTGTGTGTATGTGTGTGTGTCATAGCGCTGGTAACAAAGCATTTAAAAGATCTAAAAGCTATTGATGACAGCATCCCAATTATGTAAAGGTAATGATTACCGACCTGTCATAGCTACATATTCTACACCTATGGATAATCAACCTAGAATCAAAACTATTTGGGGAAAACAGAAACTTTCAAAAGTGACAACCTGAATGTGCTGTGTGTTGAGCGGTCTGCTGAGTCCCATCGAATGGAATGACATGCTGGTATGCCCTGCTGTAGCTCCCCACAGCACTGCTTGTTTAGTGTTGTTCATCTAGCATTTGTGTACTGTTAAAAAGCACAATGGCACTGTGTGTTCTAAACACATACAGACTGTTTTTCTTATCATTTTCCCCTAAACTAGTGTAACAACTCTTTACACAGAATTTACTCTCTACTGGATATTTAATAAGTAATTAAGGAACAGTTAGTTAAGTAATTACAATAAAAGTATAACATAAGTATACTCTAAAGCATAAGCAATTTAGAGATGACTTAAACTACAGTTTCTAACTTAATGATGGTTCAACTTAAGGTATTCCAGCTTTATCATGAACACAATGGGACAAAATCTCACCCTAAGTCAAGGAGCATCTGTATAGAAGAGGAGGTGCATAAGTTATATGCATATACTACATCTCTTGATGAGACATCAGCATCTATGGATCTTGTCACCTGAAAGGGTTTCCTAGAGCCATTCCCCTGACAATATCAAGGGTCAAACAGATTTTTGGTTCCTACTTCAGGCAAATTCAGAATGTGTATGTTTTGCTGTTTCTCATCTTCTCGATTTTGTTTTTGAGGATTAAAACAGCATCTCCAGAAAATTTTTGTCAAGCTACTGTGATCATCAAGTGTGATGGTAGCCTACCTGTTGTGGAATATTAGTTGAAGATGTGTTACATTTGTTTATGCTGTGGAACATTTGTTTAATGATGCAAAGATGTGTTGTATTCTTTTATGTTGCATTTGTTTAACTCTGTGAAGTTGT